TTTATTTATATATAATTTATTTTAAATTTTAGTTATATATAATAAATATATAACCTTCCACAACTAAAATACTAATTATTCTTTTAAATCATGATGTAATACAACAATTTCCATATATAGAAGTGATACATATGTTTTCCATTAAATATTTATGATATTAAAGATTTTCCTCTATGCAGTACTACTTCCCAAGGTACATCCAATATCCTCTCATTGTTTCATCCATTTCAAACTGTGAGATCCTCAACCCTGCATAACACTTCATTTTATCATTCAAATAAGTGTGTTTTTTATCGGCCTCTCAAGTCTCAACACCCAACATTCAAACAACCATACCTTTGAATTTGAATTTCCTTTAAAAAAGAGTCAAAATTTATCATGTGTTTGAATTTGGTTAGTGTTTATAACTAAAAAAAAAAAATTCGAAACAATATATACTAATTCTAAAAGTAATTTCGAGAACTGTGTATTTTTGTTAAAATATAGCTCTAGATATTAATTTCCGAAATCGGTATATGTTCACAAAGTAATTTTCAAAACTATTTATTTTATCAAAATACACAATTTTCAAAATTATTTTTTGATATATTGTTCAAAGTAAATTCTGAAATCTTTTTAATTTTCTTTTCATACCCAGAATAAAGGATACGGAGAATAAGAGTGTGAAAGAGGGTGAGCGAAGGAATAGGTGTTTCGAGAAGAATAAAAAAAGTTAAAGGAAACAAATTATTATTTAAAAATAAAAGAAAAAGGATAGTTGGGTGAATTTATAGGTATTAGAAAATTATTAGTTTATGTTTTTATATATAAGACTCAATTATCTAATTCATTAAGATTAAAAATAGTTAATTTAGTTGATAATAAATTTGTCCTATTTATATATTTTTAACTTAAATATGTTTTTATTTTGTTAAATTTAATATATATGTTTTTAATTCTTTAAATTTAAAATTGGTCGTTTTAATTTTTATAATTTCAGAAAGTCTTGTCTTTGTTCTTATATTCAAATCTTGTTAGTAAATCTGTCAAAAACTTAAAATAATAGGTAGATTTTATACAATAGTATTTGATAGATTTTTTAACAAAATTTGAATGTTAGTAGCTCACCTCCCTCCAAAGTTCAACTTGTATACTTAGTCCTCCAAGTACTTAGTCTTAACCTTTAAAAATTGCTTTAAAAACATCTTTCATCAAAAGAAATCTTTCACCTATAATGGAAGAATTTTCTACTCCTCATAGTGATAGTAATTCAAGTGACTACAATGACATTTCTAAAATAGCACATGAATTAAGATCACTAAAGATTTGGAAAGAGCAAGAAACTAAACATAGACTTAAAGAAAAACTTGAAAGAGAGGCTCAACTTGCTCTTTTGGAGGAGGAAATTTGTCTATTGAAGGAAAAAGAGGAAAAATTGCACAATAGACACCGAAATAGACATAGTTCCCAAGCTCATAGTTCAACCATAGGAGAATCCATGCATGATGATAGCCTAGCCTTAGGTGATCATTATCAACAACCTCCTAGGAGAGTTCATAGGACCCCCAAAGCTAGGGAATCTAGGGTAGATCTCCCTTATTTTCATGGCAAAGATGATGTAGAGGGGTACCTTGATTGGGAAATGAA